AGGTCAGCACACACACGTTCAGAAGTGGGGCTGGTGGGGATGGGCAGCCGTGGAAGTGTTTCTTTGGAGGAGGCTGAGGTCCCAGAGGCACTAATAAGAGCAAATCTTTGGGCCAATCCAGACTTTGAGTGAAATCCTTACCTCTGACGGAGGAGGAGCCCAGCTCTGGTGACAGGAAAGGCCAGTGTGGCTCATCGGCGCTGGGTATGGGGAATGTCCTGGAACAGGACCCTGCCTGGGGTGCATTGGCTGGCTGTCACTCTCCCTCCAGCCACACCATCAGAGTGTGGGTCTCATCAGGGGGGACTGTGTGGTAGAACAGTCCCAGAGGACTGCCTGGAGGGGTTGTAGCAGTTTCAACTTCCCTCAGCCCTCAGAGGCTACTCCTGTGCCCTGAGCCCTGCCTGCTTCAGCTAGACCTGGTTCATGGACACGCATGTCTTTCCATTGAGCATAAAGCTTTGGCCCCACCAGAAGGCTCCTCCCGCTCTGGGCCTGCTGAGTCTCCTCCTCAGGGTGAGCATCAGCTTCCACTCACTCTGGGACCCCCAAAGCCAGGCCCACCACTTTCCAACCCCACCCCACCCATGGCAGGGGCTCTGCCACTGTCTCTATGAGATAAACGAGAGACTGAAGCTCCAAGGGGTTAAACTGCTTGCCTGAGGTCCTAGAGAGATTTTGGTGGGGCTGAGCCTTGAATCCTGCCTGTGTTCTTTCTTCCCAGTTGGCTGATTTGCCTCTTCAGACACACCCCCAGGGGACTTTCATGTGAAGTGTGTGTGTGTGTGTGTGTGTGTGTGTGAGAGAGGAGAGAGAGAGAGAGAGAGAGAGAGATTTCACAAGAAGCCTAAGAATGACTGTGTTTTTTTTTTAATCCTCACCTGAGGATATTTTATTTTCAGACAGAGCAGGAAGGAGGGAGAGAGAGAGAAACATCGATGTGAGAGAGACACATCGAGTGGTTGACCCCACACGACCCCAACTGGGGCCGGGGACAAACTGCAACCGAGGTACGAGGTACGTGCCCTTAGTGGGAACCGAACCCGGGACTCTCTGGTCTGCAGGCCGACGCTCTAACCGCTGAGCCAAACTGGCCAGGGCAAGGACGACTTTTTTTAATCTGTTATGAAAAGTATGTTTTCTCTTCCCTAGGCTGGAGAGACCTGGGAAAACTCAAGCTCCAGGGAGATTCCCAAGGTAGGGTACTTAAAGCAGGCATCACTAAAGTCTGGGGAAGTTAGGGAAGGCTTATTAGAAAAGGAGCATTTGAGTTGGGTTTTGAAGGGTGAGTAAGAGTTTTCCCTGGCAGAACTGAGAAAGGATATTTTATTCCAGGACGAATGGCAGCGTGGTGAATTCTTCGGAGGGAAGCAGAATGGAAGGCTTGGCAGTTTGGAAAGCCATACCCTAGGCCCTGGGCTGAGGCACGGGCAAGATATGGAGAAGCCTGTGAACATCGCTAAGTGGGAAAGGCAGGGCAAGCTGTGTTTGTGAGCACCTCACTCTGGAGATGGTGGTCGGGCTGATGAGGAGGCCATCAGGATGGCCCAGCTGGGCAAGTGAGAGATGATAAGGCTGGATCTGGGCAAGACAGTCATGGGGGCAGAGGAGGGCAGCTTGGGAGGGACCAGGGGCAAGGCGAATGGACTTGGAGATCAACAGGACAGGAGTGAATGTGGGGTCGTCTCCAAGATGGGAGAAGGGTGAGACGTGTCTAGGGGCAGTGAAGAGTCCAGGTCTGGACACCAGGAGTCTGGGTGGCCATGAGGCAGGCTGTTCACACTGCCAGCCAGCAGGCAGCAGACTCCAGTTCAAGAGTTCTAGGGTGAGGCGCACCAGCTCCCTGGCCTGGAGTTTAAACTCTGTATGCCCACTTCCTCCCTGGTTGACTCTGAACAAGCTATTTTGCCTCTCCAGGTCTCCAGCTTGCATCTTTGAAATGGCACAGACTAGAGGCACCTGCCCAGCTCACCTCCCTCACCCTTAACTCACCTGTGAAGGCACAGACCACTGAGGAATGGGCAGGTAGCAGGCCTGAGGGGGACCGATCCAGGGTCCAGGCGAGGGTAGAAGATGGTCTAGTCTCAACTGGAGATGGAAAAGAAGTTGCTAGAAGGTTGGGATGGACTTGCCTCCACCCCAGCCCACATAGAGACCAAACCAAAATGTCTATTCACCAGGACTAGAACCCAAGGCCGCAGATGGCAAATGATGCCTGAGGGTGGAGGGCTGGGCTTGAAGGGCAGTGGCAGAGCTGATGGGGTCAGAGGCTGCTCAGAGTCCCAACGAGTTCCAGCCCCGCTCTCCCGCACCCCCTGAGGACCTCAGGGCACACCAATAACTTTCTAGTCCACCTCGCAAAGGGGATTAAAACAAATGGACAGGGAATAGTTACGGTGACAGCGGTAGCAGCTGCCAGGTTGAATTTTATCAGGCTCTCCTGATCATCACTTCAAAAATCCCCCTGGGTCCCCCATGTCCCCTCTGAGAGAGGTGCTGTCACACTCCCCATTTCACAGCCGGGCAATCACCTGAGGTCAGTGATTGAGGGAAACTTCCCAGAGCCCAGTGCGCAGCACTCCGTTTAGACTGGAGGGGAGCTCGGGGTAAACCCAGGGTGTGGGGATGTGTTAGGAGAATGAAACCTCCAGGGGCCTCCTCTGTCTCCAGTCTTGGATACAGGAGCCCCAGCCTGCTGCCCCTGAGTGACTGCTGGGGTGACTCATTGGGTGGCCAGCTGTGGGACCCCACACCCGCAGTCAGAGGTGGGGAGGACCCATTCACGAGGAGAGGTGATTGGATTTCTGGCAAAGCTCGAACTTGCTTTCTCCTGAAACTGGCCTAACAGGTTGGTGTGAGAGGGCTGCCCAGGCCTGTGCTGGCGCCACCTCTCCTGGAGAAAGAGGACCTATGTGAGGTCCCCAGAACCTCCTGCCTTCTCTCAGTTCACTGTGGGTGGCTGTGCAGGAGGGGAGAGCTCCCCCTGAGAGGGGAGCCAGCCTAGCCGTGCCCCCAGCCCGTTCAGGCCTGCGTTCAGCTTTGGCCCAGCAAGATTTGCTCAGTTGGCAGATGAAAAACCAGGCCCAGGCGCAGGGGCCAGGAGATTCAGGGGCTGTTAGAACACTCAGTGACCGTGAGGGAAACATCCCAGTAAGACCTCTCACTGACGAGAGAAACCTGGATGGCCTAGTGGCATCTCTGTCCTCAAAGTCATTCCAGAGGAGGACTGAGTCCAGGGGGGCACACGGCACAGTACCAATCTCCAATCCCACCTCCCCTTGGCCTGGCAGAATCCTCCAGGGCCCAGCCCCAGCCCTAGCCCCTGCCCCCTCCTCCAGAAAGCCCTCCTGAATTGCCCCACCCCTTCTCATGCACTCACCACCTTGTGGGTGCCAAGGCTTTGGCCTGCTAGCCGCTGGGAGGGAGAGCAGAGTTCTCAGAGTTTGAACCCTGGCTCTGCCCCTCATAAGCGGTGTGATCCTCAAAGAGCCGCCACCTCTCCCTGAGTCCTACCTCTTCAGCTGTAAATGGGGACAACCTCTGCTGTGTGCAAGGCTGTGGTGAGAACCCAAAGGAGCAAGAACCAGGATGACGAAGTTGCAGTCCTCACCTCCTCCCACTCCACCCCACCCCACCCTGCCATATCCCAGACATCTCAGCCTCCTTTGGCTTCCTGCCCCCAGGCCATCTCGGGGCCACCCCACCCTGCTGACAGGTCTAACCCAGAAATGAGATGGGCATCAGATCACAGCACTTCCCTGATACACTCTGAAGAGGCCCTCCGCCACACCACGTGCCCCTCTGCCCCGGGCAGCTCTTCCCGACTCCTTCCTCCTATCATACCAGGTTTAGACCTGCTTGGGGCCATTGCACTGTCAGCTCCTGCCACCTGGGTGTCCTTTCCTAAGTTGTCCCGCTCTTTGCTCACGTGTTCAGGCTCAGTGTCACCCTGCTTGAGAGAGTTCCCTGAGCCTCTCATCTGCAGCAGTGTCCCCACACCCAAAGACACTCTGCCCCATCCTCTGCTTTGCTTTATTTACTCTCAACACTTGTCCGGAGTGCCCATTTGTTCACTTGTTTGTTGTCTCTTGCCCACCAGCCCTAGAGCCCTCAAGGATGGACACCATGTCCATCTTGTTCCCTGTTGTGTCCTCAGGGAACTGCATGAGGTACGAAACCCTTGCCCATTGTCTGCACCCTGAGACAACTGCCCTGTGTTGGCAATGAAGTTGCTGGGCTTCCTCTGGCCACAGCAGCTTTCTGTCCAGGCCGCCGCCCCAGGTGGAGAACAGCCCGCCTTTGGACACTCCTGTCTGCTACCTGCCCACTGACTGGGTGACTCAGATCTGGGGGGAAAATAGACAGAGAGGTCGTCACAGGCGTTTTGGGAGTCACACAGTCACTAAGACCCAGGAACTTTGCACATCCCTAGCGGGACCCTGGTTACCTGGAAGAGGCGTGTCATCAGGTTCTGTAGCCTGCAGAGAAGGTAACAGGCTGAATGGCTGGGCACGACTCCCAGGAAAGACAGCCCTCACCCACTTCCTGCTCACTCTCACCCCAAAGCAACTGCGCTCTTTGCCCCCAAAGCCCTGGGCCTCCGTGGTTCTCGTTAGCCTCTCCCGCCTCCTCTACTCCCCACACCTTCCTGCTCTCCATCCGCCAGCATCCGCCTCTTCTGATCTGCAACTTTAACTGTCTAGAGGCTAAGAAAACAGGAAGGTGAGCACCATTTCTACAGTAAAGGTTGGGCCTGGCCAGTGTGGCTCAGTGGTTGACCACTAATCCATGCACCAAGAGGTCGCCAGTTCGATTCCCAGTCAGGACACATGCCCAGGTTGTGGGCCAAATCCCCAGTGGGGGGCATGCAGGAGGCGGCCAATTGATGTTCTCTCTCATCAGTGTTGCATCTCTCTCCCTCTCCCTTCCTCTCTCTCTAAAAATCAATAAAAAATAAATAAATAAAATAAGGGTTGGAAGGCTATGAACGAGGTTCAGGGGAGCTTTTCTGTGAGGTATTCAAGTCAAGGTGCAGAAAACTTCCGGACACAGTGGGATGCAGGCGCTGAAGTGCTCCAGTCAGACTGTCAGACAAAGGCGAGTTGTCATTTCAACAGCTCTTCTCCTTACTGTTAGTGTGCAGAACCCTGAGCGAGAGGAGCGGGTCCCCCAGCCCCACCGCCCCCACCTGAGGCCAGATCCTGTCTGCCAGCTTACTGGCCACTATTCCCAACTCACGTGTCTGCCCCACTGCACACAGTGACCACTCCCCAGACCTGCTTGTGGTTGGGAACAGGAGCTCCCCGTCACGCCGCAACACTCCCTGTCCCCTCTCTGCAGGATGACTGGCCATCACTTCTCTGACTACTGGCCTCCTCATCTCAAAAGATGCTGTCTGCAGGAGTGGTCCACAGCATCCACCCCCCCTAGAATTCTCCACTTTTCATCTTTAATTGGCTCCTGTTTACACATCTTAGGCCTGGTGCTCCTCCGAGCCCCCCACGCCTGGCAGTAGCCTGGGCAGTGGCCCTGCAGCAGTCCAGCGGGCCCTCTCCTGCCTCCATCCTCCCAGGGGAACGAGGAGGAATGAGAAAAGGTGCACCTGTGCCCGGGCAGGGCCCCTGGGCTTGGCTGACCCAGACATAAAGTGGGATGATGATGATAAGATCAAAGGGGACAGAGTGTGTACAAAACTCAAAAGAGGCCCCACTCAGGGCTCCATAAATGAAAGGCACAATTTTATTGTCATTACAGAAAAATCAGTAGAAGAAAAAAGACTACCAAACTTTTTTTTGTTATAATAATTATTTTATAAAGTCTTATCAGATATGTGTGTTTTTCTTTCTGGGGACAGGCAAGCACCTTCCTGGGCAGGAAGCAGACCCAGCAGAGTGGAGGGGCAGCTAGTGAGACCAGCTCTGTGCAGACAGGGCTCTGCCCTGCTGGGGGCGAGTGTCAGGCTCCGCTGGGTGCTGAAGCTTTGGCTCCATTTTCTTGTCCATGCGCCCATCCTCCCAAAACAGGGCTGGTGCAGAAGAAGGTGGACACATTCGCAGATGCAAAGTCAGCGTCAGGACATCCATGGCTGCCTTGGGTCCAGCAACCCGTCTCAGGATGGGGCTCTCCGCAGCGAGGAACCAGAGAAGCTGCGGCAGAGCTGGGGTCTCTGGAGCGCTCAGGGCTCAGGGCAGAGAGGTGGGGTTGGCTCACCCTGAGACCAACCCAAGGAGAATAAATAAATAAATACTGTATAACTGTGCAGTCCCCAGCCTGGCCTGCTCCCCCACCAGGGGACTGTCACTGTCAACCGCAGTTCCTCTGGCCATCATCCTCCCTAAGATAGTCAGGTTGGGAGGAAGGGCCCGTCCCCTGTGAACTGAGAAAGCAGGCCAGCAGTCTACAGAGTTCAGGAGGCCACGGCAGGTGAGTGGGAGCCTGGGCCCAGCCCACAGGGTGAGACAAGATCCTGCCTGTCTCCCTCTCTTCTAACACGTGGCTCACCATCATGGAGCCACATGTGAGCTGGGGGCCCACTTCCACGTTGTGTGACACTTTCCCCTACTCCTCGCTCCCAGCCTTGCTCCTGCTGACTCTTCCTGGTCCAGCTGCCAGAAGCACGTGGGCACCAGGAGGACTGGAGTAGGGACAGTGACAGCCCAAGTCCAGCTGGGGCCAGTGTCCCCTCCAGAGGACGGCTGAGTGAGGTGAGGAAGTGCCTCAGCCGGTCAGAGCTGGAAAGGGTACTGTCGTAGGTAGTCAGCCATGCGCCGGGGCAGTGGCAGGCAGTCCACGTCGGCCACCAGCCGATTGATGACCAGGCGGCACAGGTGCTGCAGGCTTCGGGCACTGCTCCTGCGCACAAAGGGCTGCACCAGTTTTAGGTGCACGGCAGTGGCCACAGGGGCAGGCAGTGCTGGGTCACCATCTTCCTTAGGGATAGGCAGGGCCGGAGTGGGTGCAGGGTCCGGGTTGTCACTTCGGGTGTCAGCAGCACAGGAGGCCACATAGTGCTGCACAAGGCTGACCACATCTGGGAAGGCCAGGATGCGTGGCCTGGACAGGCAGTTGGAGTCCAGGCGAAAGCTGGAATCGGCATACTCAATGCGCACGTTGGTCGGGCCACGGGTGGTTTTGACCGACAGTGTGAACAGGTAGCTGGGGTGGGTGCTGTCACGTACTAGGAATGTACCCTCTGGCATCTTCTGCAGGTGTTGCCGGGCCTCGCTGGCCGTAATGGAACCCCAGTACCAGCCTAGGCAAGTGGAGAGGGGGCCAAGAGATTGGTCACAGTGGAAATGATCTGGGGGCACCAAGCCAGGGCAGGACTCTGTCTCCCGCTTCATGCTTCCCTGGGAAGGGCTGCACCTCCCCCATCAGACTCTCTTGGATAGGGCTATGCCTCTCAAATCAGGCTTAACAGTCAGAGCTAAGCTTCCTCTTTCAGACTTGCCAGGTCAAAGTCTGACCTCTCCTCAGACTTACCAGATTCCCGAAGGTAGGAGAAAGTCTTGGCTATGCAAAGCAGATCCTCCTCTGGGTCTAGCACCTTGGGCTCACTCTCTGGCTGGGCTGGGGTCTCCTCTGCCACCTCCTCCAGGAAGGCCCCATCAGGCAAAGGCTGCATAGCTGGTTCAGGCTGGGCCCACAGGGGCCGCTGCCCCATCCGCTCCACAGCCAGCAAATGACAAGGTCTAGAAGGAGGTGGGTGGGCAGTGAGTGGAGGCCCTGTGCTCTCCCCACTTCCAAAGATCCCCTGTGCCCCAGACTGGCTACATGACTCTGGCCAGTCCATCTCACTGAGCCATAGCTTCCCCTCTGCCCATCCACAGGCTCAATGAGTCCAGTACCCCACCTCCCACTTATCATCACAACATTCCCCTTGATTGCTTCCCTAGATGTGGGTTCTCTTTTGAAAGAGACTTCTCCACCCTCTTGCATTTGTTGAACGGTAAGTAATTGCTCTCTCTATTTTGCACCAATCAAAACCACAGATCATTCCCTACAGGCTTTCTAACTCACAGCGGCCAGTTGGTGTCCCCATCACACTGACAGGACTCAGTGCAAAGACGCCTCACATCGGTACCCTCCTGGCTGAGGTGGGCTGATTAAATGGTACTGGCCCTGGGTGAGCCATGGGAAGGACCTAGGTCCACACCAGACAGGAATTAAACAGGTCAGCTTCCTATCCTGCTCTCTGCTCCTCCTCGTTGAGTGTCCAGTGCGGTCACTGGCCTCTAAACGCTCCGGCAAGTCCCACCTTCCACAAATATGAGCTCCTGCCAAAGGGCAGTGTACTCATCCCACATTCCAGGTCCGACCCTGGCAAGCCCTACTAGGCTCTGTGGTCTTATGCAGACCTTGCTCTTCACTAGAACTGTTTCCCCGCCGGCTAGGAAGGGTCCTACCAGCCCAGATGCTGAGTGCTTTGGCCACACCATATCTTCAGCTGGCTAGAGTTGGGTCACTGAGCTGGTCCCAGTCTGAGCAGTAGGTTCCTTCTAGGGGAAGCACACTGAGCATGGTGATGCCGTGCTTCCTGGGAATGAGGGGCATGGCTCTGGTTCCCTAGGAAGGGGTAATTGGTCCCCCCCTCACTACTCATAAAATGCATCCTTAGGCCTCAGCTCTGGGTCTGGTACCCTGCTAGACCAAGATAATGAAACCATGGGCCCAACCCTCAAGGAGAACTTATACCCTAGTTGTAAAAGCAAAGGGTGTCATGGGGGTGTCAGGATCTCTCTGCTCCTGAGCCGAGCCTGCCAGGCCAAAGGAAGAGGAGAGGAGGCCCTCCAGGTAGAGATGACAGCATGAGCAAACAGTGCCAGACATCGCTCAGGAGGCAGGAAGAGGCGGGTAGGAGCCAGCAGGGGAGCCATGCCCAGCAGTGAAGGTTAGAGGTGATCCTTAAAGATTTTAACAAATAAGGGCCCATAAGCACTCATGAGCAGAAGGGGCCACAAGACTCTGGCGTACCACAGCCTGCCTCATACCTCTCCACACCCACTCTGGCTGCACTATGGGGGCTCTGGAATCAGTGAACTGGCTGGTGGCCTGCCTGCTGGGCCTCTTCCAGCATGGTGGGCAGTTAGCCAGTCAGACTGGAGCCTCTGGGGGTAGCCATGTCTAGACAACTTAGAAGGGCCTAGGTGGGTGTGGGCAAGTCTAGGGCTGACATGGTGTTTGGGTGTGTGAATGACCCTGTTGGGTCCACAAGCTTCTGAAGAGTGACTGTGTATCTGGGGAGGAGTGTGTCCATGGCTGTGTCATCATCATGGCAGGGGCGGTGGCTGGTGTATTCCAGGTGTGGGTGGCCTGTACATGTATGTGCCTATTGTGCAGCCTACCCAGCCTGGGAGTCCCACCTGGGGACAAGTGCCAATGGGGCAAACTCAGCCCTGAGGGGGGACCCCTCCACAAAGCTGGCAGCCCAAGACTACAGTTGGGAATTCCTTCTCCTACCCAAGGAGGGTCCAGCTAGCCTGTGGCTATGTGTGTGGAGGTCTTGAAATCTTGCTCCCTGACACCCAACTCTGGCCCTGAGTTTCAGATGAAGCAAAGTTAAAGACAGTGTGGGACTCTAGAACTGGTGTTGGGGTCTGAGGAAGGCAGCTGGGGGTGGTGGGGTGATGAGGTGTTCAGGAGTTCCAGTTTTCAGGGAGGAGGAAGGGAGATGCCTGCGATAATCAGGGAGACATATGGAAGTATATTCTTCCTGGCATCTCCTGATCTCCCTGGAAGGAGCATTGCTTAGAGCAAGGGCAAGGGGCACCTCAACCTCGCCCCACCTTCTACCCTTCCTCACTTCACTTGGTATCACCCAGTTCTGATAACAGCAGCCACTGGGCCACCCAGCTCTCCGTGGGGCTTTCTGAGCTGTCAGATCAGTCTGGAAAGCATCAGACCCCTTGGTTGAAGGTGACGTTGGTCTCTGGGTGTTTGAAAGGAATGTGCTAAGAATGCTCAGCTGAGGCCAAGACTGTCTTAGCCCTACCCCACCCCCGCAAGACTTTGGGAAATTAGGAGAAGGGAAGCAGGACCCAAGACTGGACTGTGTCTGGTTGCCCCAGACAAACCCAGGATCCCCCAAGAGTTGCTGGTCGGCAGATGCCAGCCTGAGGAGAGACAAGGATCTCAGGCTGGTTCCCAAGAAAAGCCTAATTGCTAGCTCGTGGCAGGAGAGGGGATGGCCAGAGAGGGGCTGGGGCTGGCTCAAGGTCACACAGTGGGCCCAGTGCCGGCAGGCTGGGGTAGAGGGCTCTGGGGCCAGAAGGGGGTCTGGGCAGGTGAGCCACATCTTGGAGAATATGCTACCATTGGCGTCTATCTGCTCCAGCCAGAACCGGGTTTCGCCCACTCTGTGTTCCTCCTGTCCCCAGCCGACCCCCAGTTTTCCAACAGGAGTTGGGAGGGGGAGGGTTGACGGTGCTGTCACCATACCTTGTTGTCTCTCCCTATGTCCTTCTCCGCTTGGCCATCTGCAACCCGTCAAGCCCTCATACCCCACGGCCAGCACGAGGCCGACACTCTGGGGTGTCCCGGGCGCGGAGGCCGGGCGAGGCAGAGCTGCGCTTACTCACCCCTGAACGCAGAGGACCATGTCCCGGCAGCAGTAGCGGCAGCTCCGGAGCGGGGTCTCGGCCGGACGGCGGCGGCTGGAGGGAAGCAAGTGAGCGCAGACCTCGGGGCAGACAACCAGGGCGCCTCGGCGGCTGCTAGGAACTGAGAGGCGGCGGCGCGGGCGGACCGGGAGGGCGCGGGGGGCGGGCCGGGAGGGCGAGGCGGGGCGAGCCGCCTAATCTTTTGTCCTCGGTGTCCCAGCCCTTCCCGGAAGCGACGTCTTCCTAGAACTGCCGGCTCCGCAGCCAGGCCGCCGAGCGGCGCGGGCGGGGCCGTGGGCTCCGGCGGCGGGGCGGCGGGGCCTCCAAAGGAAACACCTTTGACAGATTTCCAAGAACTTTCCAGGAAAAGGAGGCGGGGCCTCGAGCGCCGACCAATCGCAGCGCAGGAGGCGGAGTCGAGTGACCCGCGGCTGACGTGAACTAGCGGGTTTGAGCGTGACCGGGGAAGAGTAGGGACAGACCCGATCTGGAGAGGGCCGGGAGGGGCCGGGGCTCTACCGACCAGAGGCCAGACTTCCCCAGTGCACGCACTTCGTTTGGGCCAGGCGCCCTGTTTCCTTGCAGATGGCAGCGCGAGGGCGGGGCCAAAGCCTCCCAGGGCGGTCTGTCTGGTGTTTGCAAGCGCCTCCTGTGGGCCACACTTGGACCCACGGACGCTGTGTGTAGTGAGGTGGGGAGGTGAGTGGCATGGGGTGGGATTAGGAGAGGAATATGGGAAGCAGAGGGGTGCAGAGTGAGGCCCCAGATCCAAGCAGGTCCACAGAGGTCGAGCCTGTGGCCACCACAGCCAAAGGGATCCGGGCAAGAACGTTTTCTCCGAAAGCGCTTGGGAAGAAGGCATACATCCCAACCTTTTGCACCTGTCAGGCCTATCCACTCTCCGCCCATGTTTGCCTCTGGCCTGCCGGCCAATCAGGGAAGAAGTGACCACCCACTTGGAGAGGCAGGCAGGGTTGGTCAGCCCCCAGCAGATCCCACTGGACAGTCTACTTGTGACTCTGGGCTGGTGGACCTCCAACAAATGCAGAAGCTGCAAACATTGCAGTTAAGCCGAGGTAGGGTGACAAAGGTAGAGGGATTGAGCGTGACACCTGATTCCATCTACGAGGAGCTAAGTTTGATCCTCAACAGCTGGTATTGTCCCCCATTTTGCAGACCAGAAGAACAAAATGCCTTGTTAGAGGTAGAAGGGTGGGAGTTTGATTCCAACTCTGAATCATGAACTCATGCTCCTACCCATGACCTTCTCCACCTTTTCCCAGTGGACTCACCAAGGAGCATTTTGAAAGACCATAAGGTCTGTGCACACTCCCTCCGAGTCCTTAGGCCAGAAGGAGAGTAAGAGAATTGAAGTGGCAGGGTCCACTCCCACTCATTCCCCACTGCTCAGTATATACCCCAGGTTCCTGGAAAAGGTGGAGTCAGGCCCCCCACTTTCATGGCTGGGGCACCTGGAGAGTCCTGCATGGGGCCCCTAGGTAAGAGTTCTTCAATAGGAACTGTCTACTGTCCCAGTACTATAAAAACAAAGGGACTTCACAGCTACCAAGCAGCGGAGGTAGGATTTGAACCTTGGTTTCTATGGGGCCCAATCCCAACCTCTCTACCCCAAGACTCTACCCTTTCCCTCTCATTGTAACTACTGAATGTTTAATAAGTGCTAGGCGCTCTCAGTAATTTCCAGCCTCATTTCATTGTCTGACTACTGCATATTGTCCTCTTTTTACAGGTGAGGAAACTGAGGCACAGAGAATTTACAATGTACCCTGGATCTCACAGCTGACAGGTGGTGAATTAGGGCTTGATGCCCAGGGCCCTTGCCCCTTCCCCACTTCCTCTCTAGGTGCCTATGACATGTCAACTCCTAGGCATCCTTCAGGATCCAGCTGAAAGATCCTCAGTGAAGCTTTCCTGCCCAGGCCAATCAGAGCACCATGGGTGTCCCCTCGAAAGCATCCCCTACAAAAGTCAGTGATTGTGCAGTTGTATGTGTAAACTAACACCTCAGGGTTTTGCCCTCCAACCATTTGTAAGTTTGACAGTGCTATGCATCTCACCTGGTGCTGTGAACAGTGGTGTGCCGCTGTTTTGCGACAGGTGCCTGCCTGCCCCAGCTGTTGTGGATACCTTTGGCCATTTCATTATCATCTCTCCTGTCCTGGCTCCTCCACTCCTGCCCCTACTGACTGCTGGTCCCACACTGCCACCCAGTGGTAATCTCTCTCACTTGCCAAATCCACAGAGTGTCCCTTAGAGGGTAACCCCTCCCTTGCTCCCCAGGGATGGGCCTTGCTCCAGGATCTCCCTGCCCCTCTCCACCAGAGCAGTCACAAAACAAGTCACAAAAATACACAGCAGCCCTGGCTGGTTTGGTTCAGCAGTTAGAGGGTTGGCCCTCGGACCAGTGAGTCGCGGGATCCATTCTGGTCAAGTGCATGTACCTCGGTTGTGGTTCATCCCGGCCCTGGTCAGGGTCATGCGGGAAGCAACCAGTTGATTTCTCTCTCTCACATCAATGTTTCTTTCTCTCCCTCCCTCCCACTCTATCTGATGATAAATGTAAAAATATACTTGGGCCTTGGCCGGTTTGGTTCAGCGGTTAGAGCGTTGGTCCGCAGACCAATGAGTTGCGGGTTTGATTTCAGTCAAGGGCATGTACCTCGGTTGCGGTTCATCCTTGGCCCTGGTCAGGTGGAGGGGGAGGCAACCAGTCAATGTGGCTCTGTCACATCAATGTTTTTCTCTGTCTTTCTCCCTCCCTCCCACTCTGTCTGATGATAAATGGAAGAATATCCTTGGGTGAGGATTTTTTAAAAAAAGTAATTATTTTTAAAAAAGTACACAGCAGTGCCTTCTTCAAAGTCTGGCTCATTTGATCCCTATATTCTCACCATGTACAACCTCTCCTCTCCCCAAAGGACAGCCCACGTGTGTCTGTGCAGGGGGGAGGTGGTATTCTGCTCTCCTGGGCACTCACTGGATCCCTGGTCACTGTAAGCTATTCCAGAGGCTATCATGGACGTACAGCTTATATTCCTTATATTCCAAATCGATGGTTTTCATGGTGGGTGTGGCAGATAGCTGCTGGAACATGAGCAGCAAGAGAGGAACCATGGATTCTGACTCATGGGTTAAGTGAGCAGTTGCAAAACATCTGTCTATGTGCAATCCATGTAGGGGCTGTGTGTGTTTGTGTAAGCACTGGCGCTGGTCATGGAGACTGCAAGAGGAGAGGCATCGCCACTGCTGACTTACATTTCCGTATAGTTTGAATTTATTATAATAAGCAAATATTACTTATGCAATTAATATTTTTAATAAAAGGACACCAGTTTAAGAAATACAACTATAAAAATTTTAGGTAAATTGTCATCTAATTAATTCCATTTTTACTTTTTTAATGTACCTTCATTTTTAAAAAAATTTATCTTTATTGTTGAATGTATTACAGATGTTCCTCATTTTTCCCCCATTGACCCCCTCCTCCCCACTCCCACCCGCCTCCTGCCTTTCCCCACACTGTTGTCTGTGTCCATTGGATATGCATATATACATATAAGTTCTTTGGTTTATCTCTTCCCACCCTCCACACCCCCTACCCTTTGAGGTTTGTCAGTCTAACAACCAATTTGTACTTCTTAATCCCTTCACCTTTTTCACCCATTCCCCCAATCTCCCTTCCATCTGGCAACCAACAAAATGTTCTCTGTATCTATGACAATGCTTCTGTTCTGCCTGTTCATTTTGTTTGTAGATTCAATTGTCGATAGATATGTATTCACTGCCATTTTGTTTTTTCACATTTTTTATCTTTTTCTTCGAGAAGATCCTTCAACATTTCATATAATAATGGTTTGGTGGTGATGAACTCCTTTAGCTCTTTCTTGTCTGGGAAACTCTATATAGACATTGATTCTAAATGACAGCTTTGCAGGATAGAGTAATCTTGGTTGTAGGTTCTTGCTTTTCAATCACTTTGAATATTTCTTGCCACTCCCTTCTGGCTTGCAAAGTTTCTTGTGAGAAATTAGCTGACAGTTTTATGGGAACTCCTTTGTAGGTAACTAACTGCTTTTGTCTTGCTGCTTTTAAGATTCTCTCTTTGTCGTCTTGAACCTTTTGCATTTTGATGATGTCTCTTGGTGTGGGCCTCTTGAGGTTCATCTTGTTTGGGACTTTCTGTGCTTCCTGGACTTATATGTCTGTTTCCTTCACCAAGTTAGGGAAGTTTTCTGCCATTATTGTTTCAAATAGGTTTTCAATTTCTTCTCCTTCTGGCACCCCCAAGATGCAAATGTTGGCATGCTTGAAGTTGTCCCAGAGGCTCCTTACACTATCCTCATTTTTTTGGATTCTTTTTTTTTTCCTAATCCTCATCCGAGGACATTTTTCCATTTTTTGTACAGATAGAGTGGGAGGGAGAGAGAGGAAGAGAGAGAGAGGGAAACATCGATGTGAAAGGGACACATCGAGTGGCTGCCACCCGCACGACCAACCAGGGCCGGGGACAAACTGCAACCGAGGCACATGCCCTTAGCGGGAACCGAACCCGGGTCTCTCCGGACCGCAGGCCGACGCTCTAACCGCTGAGCCAAACCGGCCAGGGCTTTTTTTTCTGTTCTGATTGGGTGTTGTTTTGCTTCCTTATATTCCAAATCGATGGTTTTCTTCTTGGCTTTACCTACTCTACTATTGAATCTGTGTAAATTATTCTTTATTTCAGTTAGTGCCTCCTTCATTTCTGACTGGTCCTTTTTTATGCTCTTGAGGCCCTCACTAAGTTCACTGAGGTTCTCACTAAGTTCATTGATCATCCTTATAAGCAGTGTTTTGAACTCAGCATCTGTTAGGTTGCTTATCTCCATTTCACTTAGTTCTTTTCCTGGAGTTTTGTTCTGTTCTTTCATTTGGGACCTGTTTCTTTGTCTCCTTATTTTGGTTGCCTCCCTATGTTTGTTTCTATGTATTACTTAACGAGAGGGGGCTAGCTGAGACCAGATGCTGCTTGTTTGAATGAATTTAGGAAAACTTGAAGCAGGATCTAAGACAGGCCAATCCTATGGTAAAGCAACTGTCAACAGCTTGGGTGGGCCTGAAAGTTGTATGGGGCAGGGCCTCAGGGAATCACCAGGGCCGGGCAAACAGTGTGAGCCAGGTTGCTGGAGTCCCAGATATGGTAACTGTGTGCTGCCCCAGGTAAGGGCTCACTAAGGAACAAAGACCTCTGACAGCCTCTCCAGACCTCACTCCAATGCCAAACAACTCAGTTCTTCCTCATATATTTCTGGTGCCTTCAAGCTTCCTCCCCCATGCTGGAGCCTGTAGGGTGTGAGTCTGAGTAAGTCCGTGCGCAGGCCCTTTAAGAGGAGCTGCCTGGGTCTCCAGTTGCCTCAGCATCCCTCAGCCTCAGATCCCACTGGTTTTTCCAGCCAGAAGTTATGAGGATTCTCTTCCTGGCACTGCAACACTGAGCTGGGTGCCTGGGGTGGGACGGGGACCCCTCAGTCCTCAGGGAGGACCTTCCCAGCCGAGGAATCCTCCTGATTTTTATCTTCCACACGTGGGTGTGGGACCAGCCATCCAACTCCGCCCCTCCTACCAGTCTCGATGTGACTGCTGCTTTAATTCCGTAGTTGTAGGACTTCCATTCAGCTTGATTTCAGGCGGTTTTGAATGATGGTTGTCCTGTAGTTTAGTTGTAACTTTGATGTGGTTGTGGGAGGACAGAATACCACGTTTACCTACGCTGCCATCTTGACCAGAAGTCCCAATTCCATTTTTAGAAAACCATGCACTGAGATTCTCGTGGCTGGGAAGAGGAGCCAGCCTCCACCCTCAGCTGCCTAGTCCTCTGCTTATGAGCTGGGCTCTGACTGCTAGCCCCAGGTTCACCTGACCCAAATCAATCATCTCCAGAGGGAGGATCCTTCTCCAGCTTCCAAGCAGTGGAAGTTTCCAGATCTCAGGGTTTCCTCCGAGGCTCTGAGATCTCAGATGGAGCTCAGGGACAGAGGTCCTGGGTCCAGCTGGGCATAAATGTGTGAGAGTGTGCATGCTGGTGTGTCTCTGTGTGCATGTGTGAACGGTGTGAGAATATGTTTGTACATGTGGAAGTAGGAGGAGTCATGGAGGCACACAAGAGGAGGGCATAATTTGAGGGTAAGAGCTGGGCCCTGGAGTTGTTCTTTGGGGTTGGGATGGAGGCTGTGCCATGATAGCTACTGACCTCTGGCAGATTGCTCTGCCTCTCAGGGTTTCTCTGTCTTGTGTGTCCATTGTGTAGGCTGTATGGGATGGGTACAGCTCTCCCTTTTCCAGTCCAGTGAGCGTCTGATCTGAAAGAAGGGTTCAGGAGGTCAGTTGTGGCTGTCATCAAGGCCTCCTCTTTCACTGAACCCTGCCTGCTATGTGAAGGTCGCCATAAGGAGGCAGGGCAGACGCCCGCCCCCATTTCAATTCAATGCCTGCACACACCCGCTCTTCAGGAGCTGCTGCTCTGAGGAGTCTGTACCTGCAGCTCAGGAGTCCACGTGCATTTGTATGTCGAGGCATGGGGGTGTCGCTGTTCTCTAATCCCTAAACCAGGAGAACGGCTCTGAGACAAAGGCTAAACGGAGGCCCCGGCGCCTACGGTGCTGAAGGTGGCCTGTAGATGGCAGCAGAGGCACGCGCAGGGATCCTGTACCTAGTCGCACCTCCCTAGTCCTAGATGAGCCACCTGGTTTTCGTCCCTCAGAGTTGGGGTTGGTGAGGTGGGAATGTGCAGGAGTAGTGCAGATTTGTCCAAGGAGACAGCTCTAGAAAAGTTGTTTCTTCTCAGGGGGCCTCCATTTCCTCATCTGTGAAATAAGAGTTGTTAGCCTGTGAAAACTGGCCTAAAATAAGTAAGGAAGCCTTAAGAGGGGCTCTCAGAACAGACCTAAATGTGGAAGGGAAAACCACAAGGCTAATATAGAATATCTGTCACTGGGGTGGAAGGAAGAGACTTAATTATTTTTTATTTATTTTAGCAAGGGAGGAAGGGAGAGAGAGAGGGAGAGAAAGACAGAAACATCGTTGTGAGAGAGGCACACCCATCTGCCCCTTCCTGCCAGACCTGAATGAACCTGAAACCTAGGTATGTGCCCCTACAGAGAATCAAACCTGTGACCTTCCCGTGCACCCGACGACGCCCCAACCAAGGAGCCACACGCCAGGGTGGGAGGAGCCACACGCCACCAAAAGCCCAAACTATAAGGTGAAAAGTTGATAGATCTGGCCAAATGAGAACTGAGGATTTCTGGTCTAAGGATGTTGCATCTCAAGGGAAAATATAAGCCAAGAATACGAGCAGGAGATGCACACAGGGGAGAGACATCAGTGCTAGAGAGACGTTCAAAGCCACCGGGGACTAGAGAGGCACGAATCACAACAAAATGCTATTCCATTCAGCATGTTGGCAAAAATTAAGATTTTAGGTAAGCTGGCGTTTGGGCGCCACTAAGGAAGTCGCAAGCTTTACAAGCCATATTGGAGGGCCGCCTGGCACCAGAAGAGAAAAACCCGGCCCAAGTGTAGGAACTAGACTTCCTGCACTCGCCCTTCCTAGGTTGCTCGTAAAATCCGGGGCTCGCACAGCCCCTGCGGGACCCGGCCGCTTTCGCAGGGGGCGGAGGGGGTCTCCCCGCGTGGCCCGAGGAGCCTAGGAGGTTGCCGCCCCTTCGGGAAGCCACGTCCCCATTGCGTAGGCCCCAGCTCTGGGGTGGGGCCTGACTAGGGTTCCCACCCTTCTGGGTCCTGCCTGGGAGCTCCTGGCCCTTTAAGGCTTGACCGAGCCCGACTTCTAGCCGCGGACGGGGGAGGGGGTGCAGTCACGTGGGCCGCGGGCGGCACGACTCGTGGCTCAGGGCGCCGGTGGCCGCCGGCTCCCGCTTCCGCGCCCCTGCCTTTCGCCAGCGCCACCGACAGGTGCACTGCTGTCAGGTACGCCCGCGCCAGGTACGCTCTCACCGGGTCCCCTCAGCCTCCTGTTCCCGGGACCTCTTGGCCACTCTGGCCCCGCACTCTCTTGATAGGTGCCCGGCCGGGGCTGCGCGATCACCGCCCCGCGCCGCACGTCGTACTCTCGCAGGCACTTTGTCCCGCATTCCTGGCGCTGCCTCCAGCCCGCAGCCCAGTCGGGCTCGGGCTCCAAGGCTGGGGCGTGTTGGGGGAGTCTGGGCGGAACTCACTCTTCCCCTCTTCCCCAGGTGGCCCTGGAAGCGCCAGGCTGGGGCCGCCCCTGAGCGCCCCGCAGGGGCCATGGATGGCGAGACAGGAGAGGAACAAGGGGGCCCGTTGCCCCCGCCAGGTGCACCTTCCGGACCCGGCCCAGCTGGCGCCCTGGCCCTCACGGGGCGGCGGGAGCCCAAGAAGTACGCAGTGACCGATGACTACCAGTTGTCCAAGCAGGTGCTGGGCCTGGGTGTGAACGGCAAGGTGCTGGAGTGCTTCCACAGGCGCACCGGTCAGAAGTGTGCTCTGAAGGTCAGTGACCCCCCTCACTGCCCCTGGGTGACCCGGAGGGTCCAACAACAGGGGCCTATGGGCCCCTGCTTAGCTTATTATGTTCAGCATCGCGTTTCATGAACAGGGTCAGGCTCCTGTTCCTCCCTGCTTTATAGGTGGGAAACTGAGCTTTGCCTAGCTAAGCTCCTGGTGTGTTAGGGAGCAAAGGGTGGAGTCTGTATGGGTAGAGCCTGCTGTACCCGGAAGAAGGGAAGGAGTGACTCTTGTCTTGGGTTCTGGCGGGGCCTATGTGTTTCCCGCCCAAGAGGTGCCCTCTTTCCATGGGAAGCTCTTCTGATTGGAGTGGGTCTGAGTTTCCCTCTGAGGCAGAGCCACCACCAAAGCTTGGGGTGGAGCTACTTTCTCCCGTGGCCCCTGGAATGGAGTGGTGGGAGCCTTCCAGGGCTGGCTGGTGGGCAAGGCTGATGATGACCATCCCACTGGTAGGCAGGAGGCTGCTGACCGGCTCCAGCTGAATCACAGCCCCCCCCCCCCCCCCCCGATGAAAAAAGCAAGTCCTGCTCCATGCCTGACCCACCCTGGTTCCTGGGAAAAGAGTGGCCAGCCAGCTAGCCACATCACATCATAGGTTCCCTGGAGGCCTGGCTAAAACCTCACTGATACAATTGGAATCTGGGGAGTTCTGGGGGTGGCTGATCTAGCCACCTAGTTCTAGCTTAAGCCACCGAGTTCTAGGCCCAGAACCCTGCCCCATATCCAGAATCCCTTGGATCTGGGAACTTCAGTCAATTGCAGCTTGTGCCAGTGGCCACCTGGATGGGTAGAGCATGGCAAGGAGAGTGGCTCCTGGAGGTTAGAACACGGCGAAGGATCTTCCCGTTTTATAGAAGCTGCAATTATGAGCCTGAGCTCACAGTCCTGCTCTAATCTCTGGCCTGCATTTGCCAGCTCTGTGACCTTGGACTAGGTTCTGGAGTCTTGAAACCAGGTTTCTGCCTCTGTCCAGGGGAAAGACAGGGGTTGATGTGTGCTTAGAATGAAGCGATGTGCACGATGTGCACAGAGTAGTTAGTATAGAGCCTGATGCAGGCCTGGAGAGGCTACAGGACTTATTTAGGCACAAGGTCTGCAAGTGTCTGAGCAAGAACCTGAGCTCAGCTCCCTGTGTCTTTCCCAGGGGCACTAGGGCGTATCCCTAGGGTGGTGTTGGCGGGGATCAGGAGAATGGGTCTGGAGGAGGCTCGGGGCTGGGCTGCTGAGGCAGGGTCTCAGACACAGCTTCTCTGCCTACTAACCCAGCAGAGGAGTGGGGTTGGGGCCCTTTTGAAGTCCCAGGCAAGGGATTCTTGGAGTCCTTCAGGGAAAAGATGGCTCTACTGGGAGGTGATGGGGCTAAGGGGGTGAGAAGTGAGCGTTTCCACCCTCTCCCTCAGTACCATCTTAGCCCTTTCACCCGTGCGAGTGTCTGGGTGCAGTCTGGGTGGGGAGGGGCTGTCTTAGGCCAGAGAATTTCTTCTTAATACCAAGGCTTTGGCCCTGTGAGCCAGGGCTGAGCTCTGACTAGCCCCTGAGCTGCTTCAGGTGCTGTGAGCGAGGGAGACATGGAGTGGGAGGCCGCAGTGCATGGCCCAGGCAGCACAGGCTTCAAGCAGGCTGGGCCTGGGCCCTTCCCCTAGATGCTGTGTCTGATAAGTGACTTGGGGAAACTTCTGACTGCAACTTCCAAAGCACCTCTCCTTGGATGTGAGGCCTCAATGCTTTCTCTGTTCATGACGGGGAAGTGGGGCTGGCCTACAACATTCCCCTGCTGTATACCTTTAGGCATTATGGGTGAGCATGGCTAGTGCTACTGGCTTAGGACTTTCAGGACCTGGCCCTAAGTTGGCCCTCAAGGGGGACATGGATTAGATTTGGCCCCCACCTTTCTGTTCTTGACCCTCATACCAGTGACCAAGCCTGGAAGTCCTTACCCAACTAGGTAGGTTCTTATTACACCTCCCAAGGTAGGATTAGCACCACCTCTGGCACACTGGACCTGTACCGTGAGTGGCAGCTCTAGCCTTGAGGAGGGAGGTGTCATTTTTCCACTTACAATTTTCCTCTGCTCTCTGCCCAGGAGGGCCAGAGCCTGGAGACCTCAGCACATGGGCAGGCCTGGGCCCAGGAAGCTCAGCCAGTCCATGAATGGGTCTCAGCCCTTGTTCTACTTCTGCCTAGCCCTCTCCCCAGTTGCCCCGGTCAGCCTAGGTAGGGTCCCTGGGCTTTGAGTCTTTCTGCCTCCCCAGACACATCCCAGTTTCCCAGGCTGGCCTGTCTTCGTCTTATAGCCTGGGCATGTTCAAGCCATCTCTACCCTTCTTTGTGGTTCAGGCCTAGCACCCTGACCTCTCTCCACGCCCATCCTCTTGGCCTTGTTGCTCAAGATGGCAGATAGTGCATAGCACGAATCCTGGAACCCAGTAGGCACTCATAAAACAGGAAGAGCTGTGGTTGCTCTCTCTGTGGCTGTTGCTATTCTCCGGGGGCCCTAGCAGAGCAGGCTCCTCCTTCATGGGAAGCTGGGCCTCTTCCCCTTTCCCTCAGCCCCTGACAGCTGCTTTGTCCATTTGGCCTTGCTTGCACTCAGGGGCTCCCTCCCAAGGACAGCCTCTGCAGCTAGTGTGGTCGTGCCGCTCTCCGTGCCGCTGTAGCGCTTGCAGCTGCCCCTTGGCAGGAGCTGGAGGACTGCCTCCTACTGACTTCTTGACTGTGCTCCTTCCCAGGCCTCATTGGCTAATTGGCACCCCTAAGCTTCACTCCTAACTCAGCACAGTCCTGAAGATCTGTCCCCCACCAGTCGCCTCACTACATTTGAGACCCAGCCCCTCCATGCTAATCACATATATGAAAATTAGGACCTGGAGTTAGTAGTCAGAAGTCATGTGACCTGATTGGGATGGGATTGTAGCAGAGGCCAGAATCCCTTCCCCTCCTGACTTCCTGCCTAGCCCACATGGTCCTCAGCCTCCTGGCAGGCAGAAGTAACCATGGCACTTATTTAGATAAATAAAAGGCCTTGCGGAGTCAGAGCGGTGCATCACATGGAAGGAGAGGTAGAGTCTTCTTTCTTGCCCCTGCTCTTTGGTGTCTGGGGCTGGGGGTGGGGCCCTCTCTGACCACTGGAGCATTTTGGAGGCCCCTGTGGCTCCCAGTGCCCTTCTCTTCTGGTCTTCATGGAAGGGAGTGGAGTGGTGGGGTATTGGACCCACATGCCCAGGAGCTCCCTGCATTGCTTCATGGGTGGGGCTGGCCTGTTGGAGCTAGTGCTGTGGAGCTGGATCTGGGGCTGGGTGGGGCTGCCAGGCAGGCCAGGTACTTTCTCATTTGGCAGCTGCCACCCCCTCACCTACCTCTCCAGACCAGTCAGATCAGCCTCTACAGGGCCACTTGTTACTGAATCAACATATCTGGGAGCCTATGGAGGGGCTGGCAGCCCTGTACAAGAGTCCCCAGCCGTGTTCACTGCCCTGGGCTTCTCCCCAGAATGCCCCTCTCCAGGAAGGGGAGTATTCCAGGTGCTCACGCTGGTAGAGCCTGCTGGGCTGGATCCTAGGGAGGGCATCACACCCTAAGAAGTGCACATAGTGGAATTTTCAGCAGAAGTGGGTTGTTTGGAGATGCTTCACCCCCTGCCCAGCTGGCCTTGCGCACCGCTCTAGAAGCTGCTCTCCTGCCTCCATCAGGATCCCCTCTGCTGAGACTTCCATCCAGGAGCTAATGCCAGCCCTCCAGGCTCAGGCCTTGGTGTTGTGGGTTCTAGTCTCATACACAGCTAACAGTTTTCCAGAACATTCTGTTGGCAGGCCCTGTTTCCCATGCACGACACATGTTACCTTACCTAACTCCTGTCGTTCTCATTTTATGAATGAAGACACTTAAGTTCAGAGAGGTAAACGACTTGCCCATGATGCCTAGCTGGTGAGTGGCAAGGCTGGGGTTTGACCCTAGGCAGTTTGATGCCAGAGCCTTAGCATCGAGGTCACCTCATCGTGCCTCATGCAAGTCTCTGGGGCTGTGGGAGGGTCTCTGAGACTTGGCTCCTGGGAGGATGCTGGCATTGTTCTCCATGGCTCCTGGCAGCCTGGGCTGGGCCCCAAGTGCCACTCTAGTGTTTGCCTATACCTGCTTCCCATACAGGACTCTGTGCCTGTGAATGGATAGGTGGTGATACCACAAGGACCTTGATGGCCGCGGGGCCACCTCAGAAAGATTGTGGTTCATCTCAAGCCTTGTGAGTCCAGAGGGCGGGGGCCACCAGAGGGCTTCAGGAAGAGACGGCCTGCTCTAATCCAGGTCTCTGGCCTGAGATGGATATGGATGAGGCCACAGGATGTGTGTGATGACCGGCCCGGTGTGGACAGCTCAGTGCCTGCTGTGGAGTACCACTTCCCCACTCGCAATCCTGTGTCCGGGCAGGATGTGGCTGCTCGCAGCGGGGCTGGTGTCCAGCCCTCACAAACCCTGGGAGCCGTGGGGATGGAAGGGCTGTGTGGAAGAAGAGGCATTTGTGTAGGGCCTTGAAGGATGAGGACAGAAGGTTGGCGGGGACTCTCCCTCTCCATTTGCCCACACCTGATTCATGCCTCCCCACACTGGAGGCTCTGTCTTTGGTGCCTCCATTCTGCCCGCAGAGCTACTGTCGTAGCATTACCAGGACCTCTGCACAGGGCTGCTGCCAGGGTGCTCAGGAGCTTCTGGATGGGCTGGGCTGTCCTTCAGTAAAGGCTGTGCGGGGAGGGCCTGGCCTTCGCGACAAGAGGTCCATAATGTCTGCCTACATTTGCACTTGGGGAAGCTGTTTTTCTACTTGGACCCCTCATCTTCCTCTCCCAGGGTCTCCTTGGGACATCATCATGGGAGACCCCTGTGAGGGGCAGCAGGTGGGGGTTCCCCCTGCAGCCCCCCAACTTCCTTGGGTACCAGCCAGGCACCTGACTGCTGTGTATCCAAAGGTGATGGCCACCAGGCAAGACCCTTAG